CGAACAAAAAAAAAACAAGTCTAAAGCTATTTTGGTGTTGACGTCTGGATCTTAAATCAAGCATCAGTGAGGGTGAACCAGAGAACAGACAGACTAAACTCTCTTCAAAGGCAATAATGTACACATGCCAACACAAGAGGGCAGTGTTGCACTTGAATTCCCTCACACAGCTACTGAAAGAGCTCAGATTATGTGCATTTTGTAGTACTTGCTCACATATGGATGTTTTTATTGGACTTTATTATTTTTAACCCACAAATATGTATTGTGATCCACAAATATTTCACAATCCACTAATATGTATTTTTTACATTAGTGTAAAATCATATCCACAAAAATACAGACATTGCACATTTGTCCAGTCACAAATTGATAGGAGAAATTTCCAAAGCCGATTACGGGTTATGTTACATTTGTGACTTCCTTTCTACACTTGTTTGCAATTTGGCCAATGTGTACAAATCTGTACAAAAAAAGCCACAAATAACTCACTACAATACAATATATGTTTGCATTTCTGTGAAATTCCATCCCATGAGTTGACAGTATTCCCTCCAACTAGCATCTTCCTCATCTGTACAAGACAATAAGGAGGACTGGTTTCAACCATCAGGTTAAAGATAAAGTGAAGAAACTTTATTTAACTCAACACTCGTGAGCCAGGATCAGGTTCATTCGTGTCATCTCCAGCTATGTTTGCTGTTCGTTTTGCTAACTTTGTGTTGCCTGTGGTAAGTTAGTTGTGTAACGTTAGCTCACATGAAATTATTTAGTTCAAGTCGAGAGATTTTATGGATTTCACAATAATTGGTAAATAACCCACCCATTGTGAGGCTTTATGTAGTAAAAGTGCTTTCCAAATGTTTGATATCCCTTTATGTTCAGGTTTACTTTTATTAACAGATGACTCTGATATAACACTCAGTTTACAACAGAAAATTATAATGGCAGCATCCAAAAGACCATTTTGAAAGGTTGATTTGATAGTTCATAATAGCTAAGTTTTAGGCTACCTCATTCCCACACCTTATCTAAGATGTTGCTTGTTGCTAAATGTAGTATGTTGATTGGTCAGGAATGTGACATAATCTCGCAGGATTTGTTGTTGTTAAACGGGATTTGTGGCTCATCGCATGGACATTGCTAGCCTGATGTTCTGTGCCCGAGTTTAGCTAAGTCAATAACCAAGCATAACTGCCTCCTCTGACTTGGAAAGTGGTTGCATATCCAACAAGTCACAAAAAGTCACGTAAACATATATTGTTTTAACACTTCTGTAAGTTTTAAGGTTAAAACAAACAGTTTTTTAGGTCTTTCGGAGTCTGATTCCATGAGCCCATAGAAAAATGCTTCAGTTTCATGCTGGAAAGTTTAGTAAATGCAAACAAAGCAAAGGGTATTAACAGAAAAACTGGTACAGTTGTGTGTTAAATATGACTACTAAAATAATTGATGTTAAACAAACAATGTTTCACACAAATTTCTGAACACAAACGTCTTTTTAACACTTTTTTAAAGTTATATGATTTAAGGATACAAATTATTTGTGTGTGATGGTCAATATTTATCTATTACTTTGCAGCCATGTCAGTTGGTGACATCAATTAATATACAGTAAAAGTCATAAAACACAATTCAACTCAGACAGATCCAAATCCTGGTCCAGTTAGACAGTTTAACAACATTAAAGACTGAATACAGACTGATAAACACAGAATATTGACTGTTGAATTCTTGCTGCGTCAGCCATGTTTTTAGTATGAACAAAAAGTCTTAATTTACATGGCAAAATGTCATGGAAAATTAGTCCTTGTATGTATGGTAGACAAGAACTGGACAGCTTTGTAACTGATGAATTTGGATGTCTATCTGAAGTCTGATGAGTAGTTTGAACTAAAAGTGATGACAGATGGTGATAAATCATGATGAAGACAGGCCAGGGTAATCATCAGCCTTCTTGAAGACTCAGTGGACTTTACTTCCTCCAGTGATTCGACTTGCCACTTAGGTTAAAGCGGTCTTTTAACAATAAATATTAAAACGTGTCCCGGTAGGAAACAGTTGTATCCAGGGTAGGTTTTAAAAAAGAAAGAGCATTTCCATACTTCTGTTTTTGCCCTCCTTGTCACCCATTCCACCACCAGGCCCCTGTGGTTCAGGTAGGCAAATGTAAATGACTGACATGTGTTGGATTCCATATTCAGACAGCAGAGCGTCGTCTCTGTCCAAATACGTGTCTTTGAAGACCAGTGGTACTATAACAGACACGCAGAGGAACACACACAAACACACAGAGAAAGAGTCAAAACCAGGAACTAACATTCTCCAAAAGAAATCTCAAAGTTGTAATTTAATTCCCACCTAAACCTAAAACTAGCTTACATTGCCAACTATCTAATCGCAAAACGGAATTTGGGTTTAACCTAAACGTGATTGTTAGCTGATGATCTAGGCATTATGTGGGACCCACAGTAATGTTGGCCATGTTACTGGAGGGACTTTGGGCAATGTATGGGGTCCTTAGGGTTAGGCAAATGGAGGACACACACACGTCATTTAAAAGACGTAAGCGGCCTACTGTAGTAGCCATTTTGTTCTGCTGATGTGCTTGTATTGGAGGTCAGATTTCCCAGTTGAAATTTCCAACCGTGAAAAAGTGATCTTTAACATCAAGTATACACACAATTGAAACCTCAGCAGTGCCCTTGGTGTTAATTAAGTAGATTTAAATGAAAACGAGTCATAAATAGTTGTCATTAATGGTGTTCCTGTCTAGCCACATTGGTTGGTAATCTGCAAAAGTCAGTAAATGTTGTATATTTCCACGTTTTAGCATTTTATAGCACTTTTAATGTGTTCCTGAATAACTTTTAGTATTTAGTTAAACACAGGCAAAATAGCCTACTTTAAGTTGCCTTTAAGGCTAGCGTTTACAACATGCACTTCAGTGGGTACTGCTATTGTTGTGTGACGTAAGACAGTTAACTCTTCATGAAGTCGGGGTAGATGGATTTGCTCCCAGTTCATAAGTAGGAACTCTGACTTTTGAGTGGCGTTTCATTGTACTTTTTCTAGTTGGGGGTGTCTTGAACGCAGCATTACAGGTGAGCAAAAGTGGTGAGAAGATGTATAAACATGGTGTCACAAATATACAATAAATGTGTAAGACTAGTAGATTATAGGTGATGCAAATGTGAGATTTATTAGTTTTTTGCAAGTTAAATGAGACAGCATGTCATGTTGAACAGTACCTACATGAGGATGACCTAATGAGGAATCGGTAAGTTACAACAGCCACCTGTAGCCTGCTAAAATACCAAATGTTTGCGTGCGCAGAGTATCAGATCAGTGTGTGTTTTCACAGGTACAGTGAATGCAGACATTTTATGTTTCATGCAAGTTCAAAAGGAAACATGAATATTTAAAACATTTATTTTATTTTATACCTATTCATAAGACGTGTTCTTAACAGCCTGCTGTATGTAGCCACAACATTCTCTGTACAGAGCAAAGAGAAGGTAAAGGAATTTATTTTAAAGCAATGCAATGTCCGAGTGTGCAAAGGTTATAACATGCGTTTTCTATTTAAATTATGAACATGTTTAGGTCCCATGTGTAATCCAAAGTGATGCTACCTGACAACCCTGGGAGATTCTCTGCCTGACTTATCTTCTCCTTCAGCTGCCGCACTGTGATGCTCTGAAACTGCTCCTCGGTGTCGCAAAGGCCGATGGTCGTCTCCGTCCCTCCGGACAAACCGACTTTGATGATGACCTTCACAACCATTTCTGTGGAGTTCGTCTATGAGTTTCTGCCAAGGGGGTAAGCCACAGTTGAAACAGTGAAGCCGACCAAAGCCTGCATGGACGCTTATGTAGGCCTGAAAATGACGTCAAAGCCCTGTGACATCTTGTAGTCTCTACAGCTGTTAGAGCCGACTGATCCAGCTGCGATCAGCTGCCGCCATCTTAACGGACGTCGCTTTACGTGACGCTTCGGAGGAAAGGACGTCATTCCTCTAAAAACACATTTCCTCGTTCCTTCTCTCCTGGCTTGATTTCCTTGCGTCTCTCGGTCTCTCCATGCATCCCTTGTGGGCGGGACTAAAGTGCAATTTATACTTCTGCGGGAGGAAAAGACGCAAGTGAGAGAAACGTGGATTCAATTAAGAGACTTGAGAAGCACCCATACAGTCTATGGTTTCTGCCACGATTGTTGACTTCCTGCACTAGAGCAGGTGATCAAGGAGGAAATGGCCTGACTTAAATGCTGAAAATTAAAGGAATACACACCCACCGTTTACTTAAAAGAAAACGTATTTAGCCCTTATCTAGGTAACGTTTACTATAATTCAACTTAACCTATTAATTGTGATTAATTTTTGCCTGCTGTTTTAGTATTTTGCAAATTTAAGTTTCATTATTTAAGTCTCTATTTTTTAATCCTGTTGTTTTTAATGCTCCTACTTCTAGCATCTGTATCATATGTATCAAGTCAATCAAAGTAACTAGTCACTATCGCTGTTTAATAAATTCAGTGGAGTACAACATATAAGTACAATATTTTCTTCTAACTTAAGTATGCAGTAGCTTAAATTATAAAGAAAAGTACCAGGAAATTGTACCCAAGGGTTAGCACTTTTAAGTTTATAAATGCTTGTATTAATATAGTTTAACATAAATGCATGATGCCTATTTGATGATTTACCCAAACACTGTGCATGTACAGTATGTGACTACAATATTGTGTTGTACTTACTGTATATAGAAACAGTGAAACTGTTACACGTATCCATCTGCAATACCAAGCGATACATTTGATCTCAACAAAACACGGCTGATCACAGGCTGTTTATCTGTCACAGCTGATAGCAACACATGATCACTCTGTGATGTCAAAAATTACCTCCGGCTGAACTCAGACAAGAGATCAGAGATCCTAGTAACTGGGTCCCAGCAAATGGCAAAGCAAATACTGCCATCTGTTGGTTGCCTTGTGGATCATATCAGGCCTGAATCTTGGTGTCTGGTTCGACAGTAATTTAAGTTTTGAGCAGCACACCACAAAGCTTGTGCAATCATGTTTTTAGCAGCTTAGAAATATATAAAAAATATCAATGTTAACTTTTAAGGACACTGAGACAGTTTTACACACCTTTATAGTATCACGCCTGGATTACTGCTACACCTGCTAAACCTTTTACTTGCTTGACCCAAAAATCTATTGATTGACTGTCCAGAACTCAGCTGCTTTTAACCAGAACAAAGAAATATGATCACATCAACTTTGTTTTACCTTCATTACACTGGCTCCCAGTATGTTTTAGAATTGACTTAAAAGTTTTATTGACCACTTTTAAAGCTCTTCATGGCCTCTCTCCCTGTTACATCTCTGACTTTTTAGTCCCATACACAACGGCACGTACCTTGAGATCCTTGGGTCTGTTGTCTGTTCCAGAGTCTCGACTGAAATCTAAAGGGGACAGAGCGTTTGCAGTCAGGGCCCCAAGGCTCTGGAACAGCCTACCCGAGGAAATCAGGTCAGTGAATGAATCATGAGAAACATTAAAATCAATATTCCAATTGAAATCTGGCTTAAAATTTTCCAATTTGTACTAGAACCAATAATTCTAATGGTTGCGAAATTTGGAGGTCAAAACTTAATAATAAATTTGACAAATGGGACAAAACAATATAGATCAGGTCAGATAGAATCTTTCCATACCGAGTTCTGTAAGAGCATCCTGCAGGTGCAGAGAAATCACCAAATAACCTGTGCAGAGCAGAGCCTCTTACTTAAAATCCAGAAGAGATCAATTAAATTTTACAATCACTTAAAATCAGTTAACCCTCAGACATACCATCACAAAACCCTAACATACCAGGAACTCAAAACAGAGAAGAGTCCCCTCAGTCAGCTGGTCCTGAGGCTCCCCAACAGCCTCAGGACAGCAACACCAACTCAAGCAGACCAAACCAAATTATCAACAAGCAAAAAGAAAAACATATTGAATACTGGAAAGAAACGACCAAAACACAAAGTAAATTACAATGTTATCTGACCCTAAAAACAGAATTCACACTGGCAAATTACCTGAGCACAATAAAATGTCCTAAACTAAGAAAAATGTCCAGACTGAGTGAACACAGCCTGGCCATAGAAAAGGGTCGCCACAGACAGAGCTGGCTACCACAAGAGGAGAGACTCTGCTCCCAGTGTGACACAGGACAGGTAGAGACAGAACTGCACTTTCTAACCTCATGCCATAAATATAAAACATTTCCCAAATATACCCGAATTCAAATTCATATCAGACACACAGAAAGTCCCCTATTTACAGGGAGAAATGCCCAAATAATTACTGCAAAATATGTCTCCTTATGCCATGAAGTGAGGACAACCAGTGGAAACTCTAAATACTAAGTACTAAATAATAGTACAAATTTTCAAATTATTATTTTGATTGTTTGACATTTTAGTAATTGTTTTGTTTTTACATTTGATACTGATTTCTTTTTATTATTTTTTTAATCAATTAATTTAAAAAAAGTTTGTCAATTAATATACACACATACGTTTACAGTATTATCTATTTATTTTATTTTTAATATAATATTACAATAACACACATGTTACTGTTTCATTTATTTATTTTAATTTTTAATATATTATTAAACACACAATTACTGTTTCATTTATTTTATTGAAAGTTTTAATATATTTTTCTTTTTTACACACACACACACACATGCTTCCTGTTTTATTTATTTTATTTAAAATTTTAATACATTAAAATTTTTCTAACACAAACACGCTTTAATTACTTGTTTAATCAAATGTATGGGGTTGATTGTTCTTATGTAGTTTGTATGATGCTTTGGCAATATTATTGTAACACATTCATGCCAATAAAGCTAATTTGAATTCATTTGAAATGAGTCCTTGAACTCTTTAAAGTCCCTTCTTAAAACATACTTTTATAGACGAGACTTTCCTTATTTTAGTTAATCTTAATTATGTATTTTTCTTTCAACTACATTTTAATTTCATAACTTTCTTACTGTTTTTACCATGTATCTTATTTTGTTTGTTGTGTTTTATTTTCTTTGCTCCTGTGAAAGCACTTTGTAACATTGTCATTGAAAAGTGCTCTATACAGATTATTACATTATTACATCAACAGCCAACAGTGTCAAAGGATACTTTCAGTGAGTAATATTTAAAAAGCATAAACATAACAAAATACTAGATACTGAAGTGACAAAAAACACCCATCATTTAAATGTACAGATATTATCCTTATTATTTCGTCACCTCCATATTTTGTTCCCGCCCTTTGCAGCATTTCGTTTCGCTCCAGAACTTGCAGTATTTTCTCTCTTTGTCACAGTTTTTTTGGTCTCCAGTTTGCGGCTACTGTCTGCGGTCACAACATGCTGCATTTTCTCCTTTTCTCTCTTTGATTTTGTGCATAGGTTTTGTGAATAGTTACACCCAGTATGTGCATTCATGCTTAATTTACTCCCGTGTGCTGTCAAGTATGGATGTGAAGATGAAGAATAGCCATTGGAGGACACATAATTTGCCTTTACATCAGAATCAAGTATATTTGCACCGACACCTGCCTCTCTGCTCTGTTTAAAACCCATTCCTTCTACCTCCCTTTTGTTTTTCACAGCTTTAGGTTCTGCAGGGTTGACACTATTTGTTGTAATGCTACTATCAGTTACACTTTGCAGCTTTGCAAAACTTGACTTCTGTATTTGCAAACCTGGTTGGTAAATGTTTCCATCTGCTACAGGGTCTGTTTGAAGCAACACCCCTTTGCGTGGCCGCACACTCGTGGGTCTCTGTTTTAATTGATTTCCCAGTCCAACTGGACAGTCTGTCGGTTTCTCTAAAACCACATCACAATTCAAGTGATTCACGTTTTCTCCTCCATTTAAGTCTTCATCCTTCGGTTGATGATAACTTGGCTTTCTTCTCTCTGCTTTGTCATGACTTCCTTCAGCCTCAGCTTCTGAATGTCTGTTATCTTTAAATATAAAAAGGTTAAAAAGTTATTACGAATGAACACAAACAGCAGAAGTGTGCAGACCTAGGCCACACATATTGATAACAATCAAAATGGAAATTACATGTTTTTACTACAAACTAAACTTAAATTTCTAAACACATTTCCCCGAGCTCGTCTGTATGGATGCTGAAGATCATGAATACACCTTCAAGTAGTCAGCAAGTGGGTTGGAAGTACTGGTTAATCTACCATCATTTGAGTGTCTTCATGATGCTTTATCTCTATGATGTTTCTTGGGAAATACATCTTAAGCTTAAGAAGGTAAATTTTTGGACCAACTTAAACTTAAGATGCTTTTGGGAAAAGAGGCCCTGTTCTGTTGTCCATCTTCATTATGAGCAATCGATAAAATGCCTTTTAGTTAAAAAAAATTTAAATACATAAGTTTAAATAAATCATAACAGAGCAGAAGAAAAATCAATAAACTAAGAAGTAATACTGTACATTTGCAAACCTACCCTTCCTGTACATGAGGAGGTAAGCTGTAGAAGACCTCAAAGATTTGTCTCCAGACCCAAATAGTGGCTGTTTGACCTGCAGAATTGAAAATATATCACAGTGAAAAGTGTTAAACTTCATGTTGTTGAACCTTAAACTGTGTGAGAATTTCTGAAACTGGACTACATATCAAAAAATTAGCCTCCTTACCCCTGCAACGATGTCATCATTGAAGTGATACCACTCCTTATTTTCAAAAGATTTGATCTGTGCAGTATAATGACCTCCTATTAGATTACCAAAGTGGTTAACTAAAGCGTAGAGGTCATATTTGCAATTCTGAAGAAAGGGAGGTAGAATAAAGTCACCAGATTTAAGGAACGTTAAATAAAAAAAAATGCTGCAAAAATAAATAAATATATAAAAACATACCTCCATGTGTAAAGTTTGGGGGACATCCACTTTGCAGTGAAGCTTGACGTAACACCTGTATTTGTAGTCAAAACTGAATCTCTGCAGCAGGAGGGTCAAAATCCTTGGATTTTGTGTTATCTCACATCCCTGAACCACATGATGAAAACAACAGCATGAACAAAACAGTCACAAAGTCACCCATCACACTCAAGTTTTTTCAGCGTAGTTCAATGGGGGACCAACATAGTTTTCTGGGTGCGGCAGAGATGCAGGCATAAAATGTTTTCTTTGTTGACTATTTTATTTTTGTGTCTATAATTTAATTTGTTTCATTTAGGAATGTAGCTTAATGTAGAAGTCAGTTTCTCATCATTAAGTAAGAGCTAACTATGGCCCTTTCGCAGCTTGTGTAACACTCATTTGGCAAAAGATGACTCAAAAATGACAGTAGCTGCTTAATTTATAGTAGAAATAAATTACTTCTGTCCATTTCAAAAGATTTGTGTTTGAGACACAATTGTAACATTTACTGATATTTCCAAATTATTGACCATTATTAGATGTTACAAGGTTAATACGAATCATTTATTGGGATTTGGGAACCTTGTATATACATTATTAAGTACTTTGAAAAATTATGTTAAGCGTTTGCAAACTATAAAAATGGAAAACCTGATGAAAACAAATACTCACAAAGTCTGCATCTTGCTTTGTATTACACCGAGTGCAGTACATCTTGTTATCCCCACAGACTTTTTCTCCCTTAAAGAATGCCTTCAACCCTTTCTCCTGTAAACATAGTATTTTCATTTGTTTCTTATGTATTTCCAAAAAATTTGTCACTTTTATTTTTGTCAAAGGAAAGCATAGTACCACACTGTAAGTTTGATGACACGAATTGTCCACTGCAAGTGGCAGAAACCAAAAAGAGCTCCTGGAATCGTGTGTGTCTTTGCACCTGAGGCACGTGGTCTTGTGACTCACCTCCCCCTTGAATATCTAAACATGAAAGGTACAATATTAAGTGATTTTCAATATGTCCTGTGCAGTGTTGGACAAGTTACTTTCAAAATGTAATACATTATAGATTACTAGTTACTGTCATTTGAGAGTAATTAGTTATATTACCATATTACTGTCCCTGAATTGTAATGCTTTACACTAGTTTTGCGTTACCTTGAGTTACTTTAACTGCTGTTTGATGGGATATTGGATATTGGATATTCTGATATTATTCTGGGCCTGCATAGGTGGGTTCTAGTGATGTTCACAGGTAAATCCGCTTATCGGGTGGATCTTTGTCATAAAAATTAACCTTCTGATTAATAGCGGGGGGGGTGGATGGGTGAAAGAAGATTAAGTAACGCGCTGTGCGCATTTCCACACGAGGTACAGCAGCATAACATCACTGATTATTTGAATCTCCCGACACTCCGACAGGATTGGTCAGGATGAACTGACAGCAGCCTCTCTAATCATGATAGTAATGCACAAACACATAGCTTATAGAAATCTATTTACGCATGATCCATCACGGGAGCTACTGTCTTGTTAAGAGGAGCTCAGCTCCCCCATAGTTTGCACCTTGCCTATAGTCTCAACCATCGGATTCCGTCAACAAGAAATAACGTTACTCTTTTACTCATGGATTTTTTTTTCTGGTGCTGAAATGTTTCTCGGTGTTTGTCAATTATTAAAAAATATAACACCACTTAATTTAGGGGTAAAATGCGTTGTAACACACCTTACTGAGATAGTAATGGCTATAATATTACCAGTTTTTTAAATCAAGTTTTTTTAGTAACGCATTATATTATTGCGTTACAGCAAAAAGCAATACATTACTGTAATTGTGTTACTTTTGTAACGCGTTACTCCCAACACTGGTCTTGTGTAAGATGTCTGTGAAGACTGTCAGTCATACGGCTCATAGTTGGATAAGCCATTTGTAGCCTGGTAGTTAAAGTTCAAAGGAATATTCCACAAAAAATCTATTATTTTTATTATTAAATACACATTAAATACTTCCAACAGGGTTATCCAAATCTCTAATCTGTTGATCCTAGTCAGTGGTCAAATTAGTACATTTACTCAAGTACTGAATTTATGTACAAATTTGAGGTATCTGTACTCGGATATTTGGATAATTCCTTTGACACTTTATACTTCTACTAAACTACATTTCACTTTTCAAATTTAAAATATGATGCATGTCATTTAATGGTTTAATCTTCTCAAATGAGAGGACTTTTCCTCTTTTTCAGTTACCGTAATGCTGAATATATATAAGTTTGGATTGTTGGTCAGAAGAAACAAACCATGTGAAGGTGTCACATTGAGCTCTGGTTAATAATGAGGGGCATGTTTCATTATTTTTCTTACATTTTACAAACCAACCATTTAATGCTGCTCAAGAAACTAAAAAGCACATGAATCCATACTGAAAAATATAATATGATATTTAAAATTTAGAGTAAGATTAAAATGCTGCTAAAATCTTAATCTAGTGATATAGTAGACAATATAGTGTGTTATTGGTACTTTTATTTAAGTAATAATAAATAAATGAATACTTCCTCCATCACTGATCCTACTGCTCAGTATTTTCCAAACAATCGTTGCTCTGCTAATAAATCAATAAATAGTTCCTACAGACCTTCAGAATTGTAAAAAGGCAGCAGCAACAATATTTGGAACATACTGATCAACAACAGGGAAGTAGATTATGCAGCAGGAGTGGTTTGGCAAGATTTTATGGATGATATAATGTGACTCTGGGTCAAAATGTGAATGTGCTGTGAATCCAAATTGATGACAGCTGATATTCTCTGCAAATGAGCAAGACACAAACCTGTCAAAGCCACCTTTCAAATCCTACAGTAAGTGTGTATTTGATACTAAAATTTAAATCTGTATATTTTTCAATCCAAGTTTGAATGTATCAGCCAGAGTCCATGTCTGTTGGCAACATTGGAACCACAAAAAATGTGCATGTCTAAGTAGAAATATCCCAATTAGACATGTAAAATACAGTAAAATACTTTAGGGGTTCTTTAATGGCTTGTTTTATGACTGTGTATTGTGCTTTATACTGATTGTATTGTTGGTTTAAAGTGTGGACAAAGTGTGGACACATATGATTTCATTACAACTTTAATTTCAGGTCTTCATCAAGTCATCCCCTCTACACTACAAGAACCAAGTGCTGACATCCAGTCTCCGCTGGATCATTGCGCAGTATACAGTAGGTTATGTGTCTTGTCTTAATTAAACTCAGCCAAGCGTCAAGTTAGCAAGTTAATGTCTGCTTGTTTGTCTACCAGATCTCTACTATCTCTCTAATTTTCTGTTAATCATCTCTAATTATCTAATTATCAGTGTCATTTACACTGACACTGATTAATGTGCACTGTCCCCTATAAATAAAAACTTTAACTGGTCTCTACCTTGGATGCGTCTGGACTGGTCCGCCATAGGATCTTCTCAAAATATTCAGCAGCATCACGTTGCTCATATACTGAAAGGAGTCCGTGGACAGAGATAATATCTTTAGTAACATATATATGCAGCTTCCCTGTACCAGGCTCAAGGGTCTGCAGGAACACACAAACACCTACAGCAGCGGCGTGATGTCTCAAATCCAAGCTTACCGTTTGTGATCTCCAGTTTTTTTATAACTTGATGTGTTTTGGCCATTTTTTTCTGTAAATCGGCAAACAGTTCCCCCAGGTAAGGGTCAATGATTGTTGAATCTTTACTGCAGCATCTGTGACACAGTGAGTAGTAGTATATGTGACTTCATTAACATGTAATTAACCAGTGAAGCAAAGTCAAATTGTGAACCGAACTCAAATTGTTTAATCTGATTTAGAACAATGCTCTGCTCATGTGAACAGCACTGATTTCATCCATTTTATAATTCTTTTTCACAGATCTGTCTTAAAGGAATAGCTTGACATTTTGGGGAAATACGCTACTGTAAATATAAAGCTGGATCAGCTGGTTAGCTTAGCTTTGCATAAAAGACTTGAAACACTAAAACAGCTAGCCTGGCTTTGTCTGAAGTAAAGAAAATCAGCCCACAAGCACTTCTAAAGTTCACAAATTCACACAAACAATATTTTGTTTGTTTAATCCATAAGTAAACCAAAGAGTAAACCGACTGATGTTTTACAGAGGGTTATGCACCAGGCGGTTTCTTGGCTGGGACCAGTAGCTTCCTGGACCCACTATAACACCACATGTTGTTTTTTCATCTTGCTTTTGTTGATTAGTGAGCTTTAGTAGTGGTGGTGTATTTTGTTACATATGGAAAGGGTTAGGCTAGAAGTACTCGGCAAGAAACCGAATAGTTATTTTCCTAAATGTTACTGCTACTTTAATTCTGTAAAGAGCAAAAGAAGCCACTTGCCACCTTTTTCATTTGATCTGACTTCACGAAAATATAAAGACAACCAAAATACAGCTGGTGATACGAACCCTTTCACAGCCTCCCGGAAGTCTTCGGTCATGAAAAGCACCTGAAGAATGCTGTTTAAATAGCATGTAAGACCTGGACTTTTCAAGCCATGGTAATCTAAAGACACAACAGGGACATATGACACATAACTGCCAAATAATCATAAACCCAGAAATGTTTGAGCAGCATGCTTCAGTAGCTTCATGTCACGTCACTTACCTGAGATGGTGAGGCGGTCTAACTTCTCTCTGAACATTTCCACAAGGCCATGATTCATACTGATGTCTTTCGAATGAGAGTGTTGACATTACATTACTAAAGTGTTGTTTTGTATGGATTGAGCCTGTGGAAGCACATTAGATACAGCAGAGGTTAAGGGACAGCAAGCAGGTTTACATGTTATGAAGACAAATTCACAGCCACAGTTTGGTATTTTTTTTAAATGTGGCCTTATTTTACACTCACTGCTTATAAACTATCAGTTCAATCATTAACAAAACAGTAGAACAACGCTGAATGGTAAAAACAGCCAGAAGGAATGGCATGAAGGGGGTATCACGAATAGAAAGGCAATTGAAGGAGTGTACAGAAGCCTACTTTCAAAACCTTTCATTAAGTGAAATTACAGTTCACCAAACACATGAAAAATTATCTCGTTGCTGTTGTGTTTGGGTGTTATGGAAACCCACGCAGCCTCTCGATCCTCCATTACCCAGCACCCCCAAAACAGGTTTTAGAAAATGACAAAGGGAAGCTACAATAACACAATAACGAACCTAATATAAAGTGGTAGACACACACATACTCTATCCTAACTCATAAGGTCCGATAAGACACGATGGCTTTTAGTTTGGGTGTAAAATGGGAGGGTGAAACACGAGAATAAGCGACTCACCGTGCAGCATGTCTGGTTATCTGACTTTCACTTTCTACACCAGCGAGAGGTTGAAGGAGGAAGATACCGCGACAGCGAGAGGACGGAAACAAACACAAAGCCCCCGGACTCACAGCTGAAACTAGAGACAACTTTAGCTAAATCTCTGAGAATTGGATTAGAGCTAAATAATCCTCCAAAGTTGTGTAGTGTCATGTGTGGCTGAAGTGTTTCTTGGTGGCGCAAGAATAAATGAAAGGCTTTAAAAAAATACAGAGACAAACTGCGCCACCGAGGTAAGACATCAAGTTCACTTCTTGTAAATCTGCTCTGCCAGTTTAAAGACTGAGGGTGATTTGTACTCTTCACTGTGTGTAATAATCTCTGCTCTAAATTATACTGAACAGGCTGTTGAGAGATAGGCTATTCTTATCAAGCTTACACTCTCTGAAAGTTAACTACTTGAATTATTACATAGGCTATTCATTGGTTTAAACTGTATTGAAGTGTAGTCCTGTATTTTATTTCGTGGTTAAGAGTCACACTGTCTTTGTCAATCTCTTCATTATTATGTTTAATAGTTTACAAATAAGTGTGCAAAATGAACATGTTTTTCAAAACATTCAATTTGCACACCCATATGTTAACTTATCCGTTTAACAAGGTTTGTTTCATAGTGTTTTACAGTAAATACTACATGTACTTGGAAATTCCTGGCAGTTCAGTGTGTCACTTGTAATTATATCAGCTATGCTGATAAGGGCTTCTTAGCTGTGATGTTTGTCTTGTCAACAATATGTCTCCAGTACTTCTGGTCATGTTTTCAAGAAATTATGCTTCTTTTAACTCCACAACTTGCCTAACAATCGTCAAAGTTTTTAAATTGTATTCAAAGTACTCCAGCGATAGTTACCTGTGCAACAATGAGTTAATTTAAATCCCACTAGTTAGTAATTATAGTGTCAGACCTTCTTCCACTTTCTTCCACCTAGGAGAATCAAAATGAGCATTCAGGGACAGGAACAGGTGGAGAAGAAATACGACCCCCTAGATACGACCCTGAAGTTTGTCAAAGGGAGGGACGACTTGGATCCAGTGTGTAAGATACATTTCCTGTCTCACTGAGCATGTAGACAGAAAAGTGCAACAAATAAGGATGTGGTTTTCATTTTATCACTGACATGCATGACTACAGATGATCAAAATTTTGCTTCCTCTTTAAAGTGAGTGTTAGTGTCTGTTTCATTTTCTTCATGAGCTGTTTTTTTATTGTAATTCACTGTTACACAACACACCCCCATTCCTTCTCTATTTCTGACAATTGCATTAATAGTAATTCACCACATACTGTAGCTAACTTTGGCTTACTTTTACGTTGTGTGACTCAGCCACAGACGACGGCAGTCTCAGAGCAGAGATGTCCTGCGGCCACGCTGTCACTCCTGACTCTCTAACACTGTGGTGTCGCAGCCAACTGGATGAGGTATCTCATGTCTGTGTGTATGTAGATTTAAATTAAAGCAGTATGATAAAACTTGGAAGGAAACACTGACTATGCAAAGACAGTTAGTAGCATCTATCATCTGTGACACCAGTCAGACAAAGACAACAAAACTGGTGTAAAATCATGTTTACTTTTATTGTTTCACTGACAAGACTTAGCACTGAGCACAGAAACCTCCAGATCAGGCTTAGACTATCATCTGCAACTAGATTTCTTCCGTGCTGACCCTGCCACCTACTGGGAAGTGCAAAACATGTAACTCTGAAACAAGGATCTGAATATTTAAGTGTAGTTTTGCTGTAAACAAAATGTTAAAGAAATGAAATGGGGTAATCTTTACAACCTACCTAAAAAAAAAAGTCTGCAACATGGACATTTTATAAAAACACAATTGAAATTATAGGACGAGAATATTAGAAAGTTCAAGTGACAAACTTTGTTCATTTTCAGCTAAGAAAAATGTATTGAGAGCCCTGCAGTGTTGCTGATGGACCATAATTGTTATTGGTGACATGCCTGTTTTCTGTCCAGCACTTATAATTTGTGAACATGCTTCTGTTTTCCCTCTCTCCCTACAGAATCAAGAATGGTTGACTGCCTGTAGAAATCCAGCAGAAAGTCTCAACCTGTTTTATAAAATCCTAAACTGGTTCTTGTCTTTGTTGTTTAAAGGGTCATTTTAAATTCAGATGCCCTGCACTGGTGGAGGATACCAAACAGTGCAATAAACTGTGGTCGTACAGAGAGGTGCGCAGACTGGCTGATTTGTCTGTAGAGGAAATGCATCACTTTGAAGAGACCATTGCCCGCCTGGCTGCTGCAGAATACTGTGAATTTCAGCCAGTAAGTGGTCCAAATATGTTTTCTGAAATATTGTGTGTTCTCTGTTCCAGTATTTACCTGCATGTTTTCCATGTCAGTGTCCACAGTGCAAAACAAGTGTGGAGAGGAAGGATCTCTCCAACCTTTGTGTCCAGTGCACCATATGCACAGCTGATCAGAAGAAGGCCTACCAGTTCTGCTGGCAGTGTCAGAAGGAATGGAAAGGTCAAGGCCCTCGATCTGACCGCTGCGACAATGACGGCTGCTGCAACAGGGACCTGCAAATTCTGCACACATGTAAGACCATCAGTTTGCCCGAGGTGAAGGGGGTCACCGACTGCCCCTCTGTCCGAGCCTGTCCTACATGCGGCATGAAGGTGGAGCATAGTCAACAATACTGCAAAAATATCAACTGCCCTCGCTGCCACGTGGAGTTTTGTTTTGTCTGCCTGAAAGCAAAGCGTGAATGTTCCACGACCAGTTCACCATATGAAATCTGTCCTAGTGGTGTGGCTCCTAGACAGACCTCTATACCTGTGTGGCAGAGAAAATGAAAAAATAAGACTTTTATTATTAAAGACTAAAGGTATTCGTATTATAGTACCCTGTAAACTCTTAGCAATTGTTGATGTGTGACAAACACACATGCTGTAACTCCATCTGAGATATAACATCTTTTTTACTTGTGGCCCTACTCTGCCTCCTTCTGGCTGGACTTTAAGTTGCACATGACACCGTCTGATTACTGTGAATGACTATCACTCTGTACTAAGCTGCTTATAATGTTAGATAAATTCGATGTCTACAAAATTAATCTTCTCGAAGAAAGTTGATTTAGATTTTGACTTCTGAAAATGTCATTCAATAGATACACACTTTTGTATAATGGCTTTTTATTTAGGGGGGTGGTGGGGGTGGGTGGTGGTTAGGGTTAGGAAATTTACCTGGCAAAATGCAAGAAGAAAGAAGAAAATGTGACAAATAGCTATTATCAAAATAAAATTAATGTTTGTTAGTTTCTATTTTAAGGGTATACACATTCGTAAATTGGTAAATATAGGCTACATAGATATAAACACTCTTCTGTCATCGCCCCCGATTCAAAACAAACAGTTATCCTCAGTAATCTGTGGTCTCTGTTATCTATCGACTCATCGTCTTTTACAGATTCCCTGTAAAAGATAGAAATTTCTATCACATTTCATATTTCTTCACCTGTAAGTTGCAGTACAGGGTTTGTACTCGTCTCAGAGACTTGAGGGCTGACCTTATCTAAAATCCACTCCAGGCATTCAGCAGCATCACACTGTTAATAAACTGCAGAACCATACATCCAGTTTACTAATTCCACCAATCTACCAACTGCTCTTTACTTTTTGATGATCTTCTGTTAATTACTGTCGATTTTACCATTTTTAATCCGAGATGTTTCTGTTCCACATGTTGTTTTCTTCAAGTCTTCAAATGTTTCTTAGCTGCAGATTGATTTGTAATTCGGGCTACATTTTCACCTCACCTACTAAAAATAAGTGAAATCCTCTTCCATGTCTGCCTTTGTCTTCTCATCTTGAAGAGGAACACGCTCTTCCATCACAGAAGTTTCTTCTAACTTGTTCATGTTTTCGTGTGTGATGCTGAAATGGATAGTGTCTTGATTACAGTTGTCTTTGCATCTCTGCTTATTATTTCACACAGTTACACAGATTTTGTCTGTTCAGTTTTAAATGATGTGTCCTGTTCCTTTTACTGATATGCTGTCGTTACAGTGTTATCTATTTTATCCTCAATACACATTTTATGACTCTAAACTTCTTTGCTTATTACCCAGCAAAAAAACTTAGTCTGAACTGTCTTCAAACCTTAAATCACTTGTGTTCCACCTAGTGGTGAATGATTTTATATCTGTAGGAATAGCCTGCTGTTGTCCTGAAAATATGCTATATAGATAATCAAATCTATTTAAAAATCTGTCAGCAAACACAGCTAAAATCTATATCACATTGTTTTACATTAAGCAAATGACATTTGAATGGGTTACCACAGCCTATTTATTGCTGTTTTGCAGTATAAGACAAAATTAGAGATGTATAGTGAGTGCTGACAAAGAATGGAGGCCATAACACTAGTTTTACTTTCGTTTGTGTCACAGTCTGCCTAGTGACATGATGATGTTTACAGAAAAGAAAGAGAAGAGGCTCCGCCAAAAAGTTTGATTGGACCTGGAGACCTATGATCTAACACTTTGATAATCTCAAAATGATGGGTTAAAATGATCTGGAAAGAGTTCCCAGGGATATCTCTTGTTTTTCATTGTTTGTTTGTTTCTTTTTAATACCGAAGACAACTCCTCAGTATCAGTGCTCTTGTCAGTAAATATTTGTGTATTGAAAATAATTCACTATGTCACTATGCGATGTGCCAATAAAGGTTGAGATGGGAAATCAAAAAAATATATCGAGGGACTTTCTGTATTTCCAGTAGCTACTCAACTTACGCTTTATGGTGACCGCGGCCAAACCGAAAGTCAAAAACAAAAGATAGTCAAAATCAGAAAGAAAGTCAATGCTCTGATCGTCTCTGCGGGAAATAGGGGTTTTCCTTCTCTATTTCTGACAATTGCATTAATAGTAATTCACCACATACTGTAGCTAACTTTGGCTTACTTTTACGTTGTGTGACTCAGCCTCAGACGACGGCAGTCTCAGAGCAGAGATGTCCTGCGGCCACGCTGTCACTCCTGACTCTCTAACACTGTGGTGTCGCAGCCAACTGGATGAGGTATCTCATGTCTGTGTGTATGTAGATTTAAATTAAAGCAGTATGATAAAACTTGGAAGGAAACACTGACTATGCAAAGACAGTTAGTAGCATCTATCATCTGTGACACCAGTCAGACAAAGACAACAAAACTGGTGTAAAATCATGTTTACTTTTATTGTTTCACTGACAAGACTTAGCACTGAGCACAGAAACCTCCAGATCAGGCTTAGACTATCATCTGCAACTAGATTTCTTCCGTGCTGACCCTGCCACCTACTGGGAAGTGCAAAACATGTAACTCTGAAACAAGGATCTGAATATTTAAGTGTAGTTTTGCTGTAAACAAAATGTTAAAGAAATGAAATGGGGTAATCTTTACAACCTACCTAAAAAAAAAGTCTGCAACATGGACATTTTATAAAAACACAATTGAAATTATAGGACGAGAATATTAGAAAGTTCAAGTGACAAACTTTGTTCATTTTCAGCTAAGAAAAATGTATTGAGAGCCCTGCAGTGTTGCTGATGGACCATAATTGTTATTGGTGACATGCCTGTTTTCTGTCCAGCACTTATAATTTGTGAACATGCTTCTGTTTTCCCTCTCTCCCTACAGAATCAAGAATGGTTGACTGCCTGTAGAAATCCAGCAGAAAGTCTCAACCTGTTTTATAAAATCCTAAACTGGTTCTTGTCTTTGTTGTTTAAAGGGTCATTTTAAATTCAGATGCCCTGCACTGGTGGAGGATACCAAACAGTGCAATAAACTGTGGTCGTACAGAGAGGTGCGCAGACTGGCTGATTTGTCTGTAGAGGAAATGCATCACTTTGAAGAGACCATTGCCCGCCTGGCTGCTGCAGAATACTGTGAATTTCAGCCAGTAAGTGGTCCAAATATGTTTTCTGAAATATTGTGTGTTCTCTGTTCCAGTATTTACCTGCATGTTTTCCATGTCAGTGTCCACAGTGCAAAACAAGTGTGGAGAGGAAGGATCTCTCCAACCTGTGTGTCCAGTGCACCATATGCACAGCTGATCAGAAGAAGGCCTACCAGTTCTGCTGGCAGTGTCAGAAGGAATGGAAAGGTCAAGGCCCTCGATCTGACCGCTGCGACAATGACGGCTGCTGCAACAGGGACCTGCAAATTCTGCACACATGTAAGACCATCAGTTTGCCCGAGGTGAAGGGGGTCACCGACTGCCCCTCTGTCCGAGCCTGTCCTACATGCGGCATGAAGGTGGAGCATAGTCAACAATACTGCAAAAATATCAACTGCCCTCGCTGCCACGTGGAGTTTTGTTTTGTCTGCCTGAAAGCAAAGCGTGAATGTTCCACGACCAGTTCACCATATGAAATCTGTCCTAGTGGTGTGGCTCCTAGACAGACCTCTATACCTGTGTGGCAGAGAAAATGAAAAAATAAGACTTTTATTATTAAAGACTAAAGGTATTCGTATTATAGTACCCTGTAAACTCTTAGCAATTGTTGATGTGTGACAAACACACATGCTGTAACTCCATCTGAGATATAACATCTTTTTTACTTGTGGCCCTACTCTGCCTCCTTCTGGCTGGACTTTAAGTTGCACATGACACCGTCTGATTACTGTGAATGACTATCACTCTGTACTAAGCTGCTTATAATGTTAGATAAATTCGATGTCTACAAAATTAATCTTCTCGAAGAAAGTTGATTTAGATTTTGACTTCTGAAAATGTCATTCAATAGATACACACTTTTGTATAATGGCTTTTTATTTAGGGGGGTGGTGGGGGTGGGTGGTGGTTAGGGTTAGGAAATTTACCTGGCAAAATGCAAGAAGAAAGAAGAAAATGTGACAAATAGCTATTATCAAAAATAAAATTAATGTTTGTTAGTTTCTATTTTAAGGGTATACACATTCGTAAATTGGTAAATATAGGCTACATAGATATAAACACTCTTCTGTCATCGCCCCCGATTCAAAACAAACAGTTATCCTCAGTAATCTGTGGTCTCTGTTATCTATCGACTCATCGTCTTTTACAGATTCCCTGTAAAAGATAGAAATTTCTATCACATTTCATATTTCTTCACCTGTAAGTTGCAGTACAGGGTTTGTACTCGTCTCAGAGACTTGAGGGCTGACCTTATCTAAAATCCACTCCAGGCATTCAGCAGCATCACACTGTTAATAAACTGCAGAACCATACATCCAGTTTACTAATTCCACCAATCTACCAACTGCTCTTTACTTTTTGATGATCTTCTGTTAATTACTGTCGATTTTACCATTTTTAATCCGAGATGTTTCTGTTCCACATGTTGTTTTCTTCAAGTCTTCAAATGTTTCTTAGCTGCAGATTGATTTGTAATTCGGGCTACATTTTCACCTCACCTACTAAAAATAAGTGAAATCCTCTTCCATGTCTGCCTTTGTCTTCTCATCTTGAAGAGGAACACGCTCTTCCATCACAGAAGTTTCTTCTAACTTGTTCATGTTTTCGTGTGTGATGCTGAAATGGATAGTGTCTTGATTACAGTTGTCTTTGCATCTCTGCTTATTATTTCACACAGTTACACAGATTTTGTCTGTTCAGTTTTAAATGATGTGTCCTGTTCCTTTTACTGATATGCTGTCGTTACAGTGTTATCTATTTTATCCTCAATACACATTTTATGACTCTAAACTTCTTTGCTTATTACCCAGCAAAAAAACTTAGTCTGAACTGTCTTCAAACCTTAAATCACTTGTGTTCCACCTAGTGGTGAATGATTTTATATCTGTAGGAATAGCCTGCTGTTGTCCTGAAAATATGCTATATAGATAATCAAATCTATTTAAAAATCTGTCAGCAAACACAGCTAAAATCTATATCACATTGTTTTACATTAAGCAAATGACATTTGAATGGGTTACCACAGCCTATTTATTGCTGTTTTGCAGTATAAGACAAAATTAGAGATGTATAGTGAGTGCTGACAAGGAATGGAGGCCATAACACTAGTTTTACTTTCGTTTGTGTCACAGTCTGCCTAGTGACATGATGATGTTTACAGAAAAGAAAGAGAAGAGGCTCCGCCAAAAAGTTTGATTGGACCTGGAGACCTATGATCTAACACTTTGATAATCTCAAAATGATGGGTTAAAATGATCTGGAAAGAGTTCCCAGGGATATCTCTTGTTTTTCATTGTTTGTTTGTTTCTTTTTAATACCGAAGACAACTCCTCAGTATCAGTGCTCTTGTCAGTAAATATTTGTGTATTGAAAATAATTCACTATGTCACTATGCGATGTGCCAATAAAGGTTGAGATGGGAAATCAAAAAAATATATCGAGGGACTTTCTGTATTTCCAGTAGCTACTCAACTTAAGCTTTATGGTGACCGCGGCCAAACCGAAAGTCAAAAACAAAAGATAGTCAAAATCAGAAAGAAAGTCAATGCTCTGATCGTCTCTGCGGGAAATAGGGGTTTTCAACGATGGGTGGAAAACACCTGAGAACTCGCAAACTCTAAACAAATAAGCAATGCCCTTATGCCGCCCAGTGTGTCTCCCTTCTCTTTTAATTTCACATTTATTGTACACATTGTAGGTTAACTCACGTGCACTTTTTTTTACAGTTTGAAGCCTGTGTTTTAAACCTTGTAGGGCCTGTTACTTTTAAATTGCAGTGCATTCATTTAATTTTCATAATGTTGGCCTAATATTTTAACTTAATATTTTTTATGTCCTTGTTTTGGATATCATTAAGGTTATTTGTCATTGTAGGAATTGCAGTAGGTCAGGTCCCTTTTTGCTTTCAGCCTGATGATATTAAAACAAACTACGCCTACATTAAATAAACAATGCCCATGCAGTTTCGTGACTTAGGCCTACATGCATTCTATTTATCGTCTTAATAACAGAATATTTGTCTGACTGCAGAATCAGAATCAGATTTATTGCAAAGTTGTTTTAACACATACCAGTAGTCTAATTTGTTTGGGCGACTAAGTGCGCAACAACAATACTCATAAACTGATATAAATATAAAGATTCCTATTAAAGAGTCAGATATGCATAAGAAATATAAGAAAACAGAAAACTCAACATCTTTGAAAAGTTTATTTACAGGTTCTGCCCAAATAAATCATGAGCATTTAATAATTAGATCTTACAGATTTGTTTTGACACTGAAAAAGTTGTTTCAGGCAGGAGTAGAATTCGTTTGCACTGATTGTGATTTAATATATACTATAGAAAGATGGTTTTGAAAGACTGATGGTTTTGAAAGATGGTTTTGATGAAAGACTGCGGGGTTTGTCTTCAGCAGGTGCCTCCGGATAGTCTCGGCACTGTATGAATTGTGGACATGTGCTGGATCTGGGAGGAATCCAGAGTGGCCACATCCTCCAGCGTCTTGGATTTGAAGACAATCCGCAAGTCGTCATCTTAAAGCAAAAGTAAAAGGTCTTGAGAATTATAGCCTAATTATGTTCTATAGGACTATAGGCCTGTAGTTTTAGACATTACAGGCTAATCCTTCAGATATGTTTATGTTCATCGGGTGAAAAGAAGGTTTGGCTAAAGGGTGATTTCTACGGTTCCATTTATAAAAACAGATCAAAGGTTAAACCACATTAAAACAAATCCACACAGACGTCTTTTACATTTTCAAATGAGAGGAAAATAAAGGACTGAAAGAGCGCCTAACTGTTAATATTCACACATAAATAGTTACATACCTGTCTTCATTTCCTGATTAATTTTCTTTTTCAGGTCCAGTACAGTGATATGCCTCAGCTCCTCTTTAAAGTCGCACACCTTCAGGAGTTGTTCCCCTCCTCTGGGCAGACGTACGCTGACCTGGATGCACATTTTGCTGCAGTGAGGACTGGTGTGCTCTTCAGGGTGGTTTATTGTGGTATCTAGACAAACTGAAACCTGGTTAAATAAATAGGCTACATGCTATCTGATGTTTTTTTTCATAAGTTACGTCACATATTAAACTGACAGTCATATGACTTCATGGAAATTAACAGCGAAAGAAACCGAAAGAACTCAAAGCCTCAGAGTGTTTAGTTTGAGTGAGTCCATCCATCCATCGTCAACCGCTTATCCTGCGTACAGGGTCGCAGGGGGCTGGAGCCTATCCCAGCTGACATCGGGCGAAAGGCGGGGTACACCCTGGACAGGTCGCCAGTTGGTTTGAGTGAGTAGGCTACATATTACATTTAGTCAAGATGGACAGCAGTGTAACAAGTGAACAGAGCAATAACTCCAGACAACAGATAAGCAATATGACACAACAGGAGAAGTGTTACGACCCTCGAGACAGAACACTTACATTTGTCAATGGAGAGGATGACTTAGACTGTAAGTAGCCAAATGTCACATTGGTCCTAACATGTGGCTATAATCTTCTGCTAACTGTGCCTTATTTTTGCTCCTTGTTTTTGTGCGTCTCGTCTGGATCGTGTCTCATAGTTTTGTGCGATGACTTCAAGTCTCTCAGAGCAAAGATGTCCTGTGGTCATGCTGTCACTCCGATGTCTCTCACCAACTGGTGTCGCAGGTTGCTGGATAAGGTACACTGTTAACATCACCTTCATCATGAACTTCAAAGACGTTTTAGTGAATAAACTTCACTGACAATGTAATTAGTGATTTTAGGGGCGTGGGGGGATGGTGGTCAGAGGAGTCAGCCTTACATGTCCAGTTTAACCAGTCAGGAAGAAAAAGTTCCAAATCCCCTGATTCCCCTGAACAAAATTATTTATGTGTTGAACAAAAAGCATTTAAAATTATGTTTTTCTCACATTCCTTCTTATTTATTTTTACTAAGGGTGAGTACAGATTTGTGTGTGGCAAACCTGACTGTGATATTGAGTGGCCATATGAGGAGGTTTGTAAAATGGCTCTTCTAACCAAAGAAGAAATGAAGTACTTTGAAAAGAAAATGTTCCGTAACACTGCCAAGGATTACTTGAATGTCAAATTTGTAAGTATCTCAGTGACTCTGTATTTACACTATTTATAAACTATGAAAAAATGTTGTGAATGCAAATTCAAGGGTTTAATTTAAAAACCTCTCATTCTGTGTAACTTCACTCAACAGTGTCCTGGCTGCAAGTCTTGTGTGGTGAGGGCTGATCTCAGTGATCTGGGTGTCGAGTGCACAAAGTGCACAGCTGCCAAAAGAAGACCTTTCAGATTCTGCTGGCAGTGTTTGAGGGAATGGAAAGGTCCGGCTCCACGTTCAGACCGCTGTGAAAATGATGGCTGCGTCAATGAGCCATTAGAAACACTGAGAAACTGTCCAGATATCGTCTTTGAGTCTGTGAAGGGCGTCACTGGCTGTCCCTGCATCCGTGCCTGTCCCACCTGTGGTTTTCTGGTGGAGCATAACAGAACTCAGTGTAAAACCATCGTCTGTTCTCGCTGTAAGGTGAAGTTCTGCTTTGTTTGTCTGCAGTTCACTGAAGAGTGCCTGAAGCGCAACGCATACAAACTTTGCCCCACTGGTGTTGCACCGAGACAGACCTCGATACCTGAGTGGCAGAAAAAGTTATTTTATAATGTCAATCATCATAACTGATGTTACTCAGACAGGATCTCAACCCCACACCAACTTTTAGTAGTAGTTATAAAGCTTTAGACCTCTTTTGTACCATCTTTCCATAATTGGAACATTTTACATAGACAACTAAGTTTATTCTGTTTTTCACTTTGCTGGATTTTATTTAGCTTCTTTAATGTTATCACAATGTTTCAGTGTGTCATCATTCTGATCTCCATAATATCTTTATTCAGTCTGTTCATTTCACATATTATTGTTTATTTTTAAGTTATGCTCCTTTGTTTATTCTCCCAAAACAAGACCTTTTTAAAGCATAATGTACTTAATACTAACAAGGAAAGCACAGCCTGACTTGTGATTGAAGCAGGAAACTAACATTGTCTAGAGGAGCAATGTCAGTGTGCAGACACTACCTTTCGTCAGGGCACAAAACCAAGCTCAGGTATCTTTGTACTGTAGAGTTAAAAAGACAGCTAATAGAAAAAAATTATAATATGAATAAATGTCAAATATGTTTATCAAAAGTGCTGTGAGTAGTTTTGTCTAACTTATAAATATCATTGGCACATTAATTTGTATATATTGAACCTTGTTATTCTTAGAAATTGTTGATGTGTGACAAACACACATAGCAATAACATCTTTTTTACTATTGGCCCCACTCTGTCTCCCTCTGGCTGGACCACAAATGACAACATCTGATTACTGTGAATGACAATAACTATGTACTGAGCTGCTGGTAATGTTAGAGAAATTCTAAATCTAGAAAATCTTTCTTCCCAAAGAAAGTTCATGTACATGTCAGAATCTACTTAGAAACCATATCGTGAATTATTATGCCTTTCAAACAATACGCACTTTTGCATCATGACTTTTTTGTATTATCAAAATAAAAATGTTTGTCAGCTTCTATTTAAAATGTATACAAATTCATAAATAAATGCTCTTCCTCATTCTCAACTGTGGTAATATAGGCTACATAGATATAAACACAGTTAAAATAAACATTACTCTAATCCGTCGACACCTTCTCTATTATAAATTTCCTGGTTGAAAGAAAGTCTCTAACTACGAGTCCAATGCGTTTTTAAGTTTTGAAAGATTATGTCCTCCCCTCTCATATGCCTCACAGTGTTTTGGTCCGCTGCCAGACCCTCAGCAACTTAATATCTTAAAAGTGACTATAGTGATCTATCCCTCTCCTCTTGCAGGCAGGAGGGACAGGAAGTTGCTATGGTTACGCTCTTCATCTCCATCGTTCTGAAAAGGTGGTAGATGACCAGTAGAAACAGTTAATGAACAAACAAAAACAACGAGAAATACATATAAATAAATGTGTCTTTTGTGGTTTCACTTGTCTTTGTGTGTTTTCTGGCCTGTGTGATCCCCCGCCCTGGTTTCAGCTGTCCCTCCTTATCATTATCATTTGTATCCTGTATGTTCGCTTGTCTAGGTGCTTTTCTTTCTCTTATGTGTTGAGCATCCCAGCCCATTCTTACTATTATCTCTGTGCTTTTTGGTCCTTCACCTTGACTTCTGGGCCGTTGCCTGTTTAATGGGCATTGATATACTGCTTAATGTGTTTGCCCACATTGTACTGTTTATCTGGTGTTGACCGGTGGCTGCCTGATCATCCCATAACATTTATTGTACCTTTTTGATGTTGTCCATAAATGAATTGAACTGCTCCAGCTCTGCCTTGGAGTCTACAATTTAATCTAGTCTCTTGCTTCTCTTTGCACAACTAGTGCGCATATAGCATTGCAATAACTGAAATGCATAAAAAGGGAGGATCTGAAGTTTCTCTGTCTTCATGTTTGACCCTGAGTTCATTTTTGATTTTGTTCTTCATCACTGTCATTTATTTTCTGTTCCACCTCATCTCCACCGTTTCCTTCAGATTACCTGATTTGTTGTTCCTTTGCCTTGTCTGTCAGAACTTCTGAATTGGTTTTAGAGGCCTCTGAGACTCAATAAGGCTTTGAAGTGGAGAAAAGGTAACATTCAGTAATGATCTGCTAATATTGGAGAACTGAATTTAACATTTTAAATGTTCTTACCTCTGTACATGAGCAGATATGCAGTCTGGGAACTGTTGAACAATCATTTATTTATTAATAATTTGTTGTTTGAACAGTAAAGTAACAACACTGAGTGAACATGTTGAGATATTACAACATATTTAAGATGAAACTGGATTCACAAACATACCTGTAAGTCTTTTTTGCAAATGGTTGTCCTTCAGCTTACACCTTTGAGAAGAACATTTGAGAAGAACACTTAATGTTATTTGTGTTTGTGGGTTTTGTATAAGTGCCACATTAATGGATGTGCTGGATGAATCCTCACCTTTTTGACTCATACCACGTTTTGCCCTGAGTGGACAGGATGGTGGCTGTGTATTGTCCACCAAACCCACAAGCAGGAGCCTTGCACTGTGAAGCCTCTCAGCCAGTGTAAGCAGCTGTGTAACATAATTGTGATTGGCCCCAGTGCAAATATTTTTATTGTGCTAGTACACCACTGCCCCCCCTCAAAAGTTATTCCCCACTGTTTATCATAATCCCTCTCTGCCACTTGTCATTACAAGCGCCATGGCATCGTAAAACATAATGAGCCCGGCGCTCCATATGGAGCCAGGACATGTTCACACACGTGTTTTTTACCATATGCAGTTGTTGGTGAAAACCAGCGAACCTGTGTGTCACTGGTTCGAGTCAGGACCATGCAGTACAACTCGGGGTTACATTGGTCAAGGAGGGATGGGCAGTTCTTTCTTTACTGGTGGTTGTTTCTCAGACAAAATGTCTGAAGCCGTGCTGAAGATATTGAGTCTGACTTATTGAGAGGTTTATGTAATATAGTGCAGTGGTTGCTGCTTTGTTAGCTGCCGACTTCCCTGTTGCTTGTGCCCATACCACGATTTTCTATTTTCAGAAGAACCGTATAAAGGAAACAATGGACAAGGCTACAACAGCAGTGAGTTGCATTAAACTATAATAATTCTAACTTTTGTTGATGGACAAACTTGGCAATTGATTAAAAGCAAGCATGTATATCTTACAGATCACTACACTACTCATATTGATAAAGTTACTTCTCCTCACCTTTATTTGTAATGAAGGTGGCACATCCACAGAGCAGTCTGGTTTGATATGTGACATGGTGTTGTAGTCAATATCAAATCTCTTGAGGAGTAATCAAATCAAAGTCTGAGGAAATGTCACCATCTCACATCCCTGAATGACAAAAGAAAAATTATTAAAGAAGTTCTGATGAAGATATCAGTGTATAAACAAAAGTACAAAGTGTTGTACATTTTTGACTAACTTACAATGAGTTTTCAATATTCAAAGTAAAAACTCACCCTGGTCGCCTCCGTTTCCTTTTTACATTTAGTGCAGAACATCTTGTTGTCTCCACTGAATGATTTAGACTCAAAAATCCTTTGAAAGCCTCTTTCCTGTGACAACATAAATAATCGCATAAATAAATTTCACCAACAGACCAATCTCACATCATCAAGATAAAACTCACTACGCTGTAGGTTGAATCAGGAGCATCTGTCAGTGACGGTGGAAGACTTCAGAATGGATTTGTCTCTTCATTAATAGGATACTCTGCATTTCTATTGTGCATGTTGTTTTGTAGGTCTGTCAATACATAATTCAAATTTGTTCACCTATAAGTTGCAGTCCAGGTTTTTTTTTACATGCTCACCTCAGAGACTTGTGGGCTGACCTTATCTAAAATCCACTCCAGGCATTCAGCAGCATCACACTGTTGATAAACTGCAGAGCGAAACATCCATCCATCTGCAATCCCCAATGTTTTTGTGATGGTTTCTGTTCCACATGTCTTCATCTTCAAGCCTTCAAAGATGTTTCTGAGCTGAAAATCTGTTTGTATTTCTGATCCAACCTTCAGGGAGAGAATAGTTTCTCAGTGAATAGTCACTGTTTACTGCCTGTAAACATGTTACTGATGGAGATTTGTGAATTTGAAACACCCATTTAGACCCAAATGACCGCTTTATAATAATATTTTCTTTTAATAATGTACATAATGTTTGTTATATTATGTTTGTTACAGGTGAAAGCAGCTGTTTCAAACCTGTTGTGGACCTCTGGTGTCATGAGGAGATCTTGCAGGACACTGTTGGGGTAACATGTGGCCTCCTGAGTATGCAGACTATAATGAAGTTTCTGTGGCTAAGTCAGTTCCTGGTTTAAAAAAAAATGTGGTCATCACTGAACGTTACTGCTTTCATCCTGTCGTTCAGCTGAATCATCTGTCTGACCTTCTGGATCGGTCGGACGCTCTCTGGGTTTGTAGGAAAAGTAATTTACTCAGTAATTCATTCAGCAAAAGTCTGTTAATATTAAAGTAATAGCTTACATTTTCACCTCACCTTCTAAATATCTGATAAATGAAATTTAAAACACAGAAAATACAAAGGGTGACACGGTGGTGCAGTGGAGTTTGCATGTTTTGTCTGTGTGGGTTCTCTCTGGGTGTGCTTCCTCCCACGATGTCTCTGGATTGTCCTTAGGTGTGAGTGGGACTGGCTGTTTGTATATGTGTGACCCTGCAATGGATTGGCTACCTGTCCAGGGTTTAACCCCACCTTTTGGATAAGCGGTTGACGATGGATGGAAAACACAAAAGTAATAAAGCTGCACTGCTCCCTCTTCTGTACAGCAGGTGCAGCATTGGATTATATACAAAAACGCTCAAAGATTTGGAAACTGGATACTAAATTTAGTTGAATAAAATAATTTGCTAATCTTCTTCTTAATTTATCTTAAACATCTTCCCGGCAGTAGAAGGGGATTTATCTTGTCTTTCATTTCTTTTCAACTCCTTATTATCAGTGCTCTTGTCAGTATCATTGTGCAGGCCTACTGAAAATAAGCGTCATCATACAGTGTGCTGAGATGAAACCGAAAATATGGCAAACGAGGGACTTTCTGTAGGATATTAACTCACATGCACTACTGTGCAGGCGCTGCCAGAAGGATTATCAAAACAAAGAACAGAGAAGCTCCAATGACAACACACACAGAGGGTGTGTGTGACTCATACTGAGTTTGGCATCTGCCCTGCACGCCATTTGAAAGTCTAATCTGTCTTATTTGTTCGCACTGAAGAGAACAGGCCGATAAGTTCACAGTATAAAGCATGAAGTCTCTTCCTCATCTCTGCCTCGTTTATATTTCAATTGTACATTCCCTAAAGCTTACACACTCATTAGGCCCCTATATAGCATTTTTATATTTATATCATGGTATTTACGAGTTATATTAATGTCAGAACAATAAGGGCAGCTGTGTCTTCTCCTATCCACTTGGCCTAGAAAACCTTCAGAAAGCGGTCTGATGAAGTCCTTTGAAAGGAGTTGGATTGAATCGGAGCTCTTCAATAACCTAGAGTCCTCAGAAGAGTTGCTCTGATTTGAAATTAAATTCTGACAGACGGAATTTGGAAATACCGACGCTTTGTCACGCTTTAAAAGCATCGTAATTGAAGCACTGAGATGAGAACGTGTTGGAATCCCAGGTGAAAATATGGGGTTTTATTATGGGTGGAAAACACCTGTGAGGACACGCAGACTCGAAACAATCAAACAAGGAAATTAATCAATGTTATAAATAGATTTATAAG